TAATAGAGATGGTAATTAAGCGCAAAGTGAGATTTGAAAAATAATCCTAAATGATCAAACACTTTTTACGTTGTATTACATTACATAATCAACCACCGTCCATAGAAAAAAGCTTGTGATTGTCTAGCTGTCATGTTGGAACACGCTCTTGGCGGCAGCACCGTCTTTGGCTTTTACAGGATGACTCACTGTCGTGACGGACAGGCAAATCGATATTTTGACTTTGGCCACTGGTTTTTCTCTCATAGGAGATGCGGCGGTAATGGATGCGGACCGTAAATAAGTGGAAGGTTCTTGACAAATGAATCCATTAACATTTGCCTGTGTCGCCTGGCGAGCAGATTTGCTGTTTTATGGAGCAGGAAAAAAGAGCCAGTAAATCTGAGGGCGCAGTGAGGGTGAGGAGCTGAGAGTAGGCTGGGGAACACATCTCCCATGATGCAGCACTTTATCTCCCCCCTAAATGGCATCTTTATCTGCCTAAATTAAGTTTTGATTCCTTGCCACATACGGAGCTGCAAATCACTTTTAATACTGATATCAAGAGCAGCAGTAAAGTGTGCCCAAAGCGATGGAAAGCAGCTTTATTGTGTGGCGCATATACCGCCATCGCCACCATTCGCTGTGTCTCTGTGGCTCGCAGTTGTAAAAAAAAAAGAATCTGCCCCGAAACCACTGCTTTGTGTGCAAAACATATTAAGCCATTTGTCATCATTCATATTCCTCTCTATCGTGCAGCAGCTCTACACACAGGATAACTCCGGCTACCTGTACCAGGATCGGGGAGAAGAATACCCCTAAAGGTGACTTAATTTCCAACTGTGATTAATTTCCAATTCCATTTTCGCTCGGTGATGTTTATCTTTAAAATTAGAACGAAGTCCAGGCCTGTTTGTGCGCATGTGTGGAAAGGGGAAGGGGGGGGGCGGGGGGCTTGAGGTTGGCGAGCGGGTCCTACATGGAAACTGCTTTTTGTCACATTATCGTCACTCTGCCTATATACTGAATCTGTCTAATCGATCAGCGACCTGGTGGTAGAAACAGGGGTCCAGTGAGCGCTCAGCGGGAATATGCGACGTCTGACATTTGTTCAGCACAGGATGCCGACGATGTGGTAACGAGATTGAGAGTCTAAGCTAAATGCTAACTTCTGCATGCTAACATGTTAACAATAACATGCAGATTGTAAGAGGATCTGTTGGTTACCACGTTAGCATTACAATGTTTTTAATGAACACAGGGTTTGGCGGGTAAGTGGGCCTTAAATAATAGCAGGATTTGGGGTTTTGACCTGAATCAAAGTAATATCTGAAACAGATTTCATGGCAATCCATAAATAACCTCCATAAATAACATCCTCCTGTTGGCATTACGGGGGATTGCCCCTAAGTTATTGGGATTCATCAACTGGGAATCATGAATGTGAGTATAAAATCTGGTGACAATACATTGTATAAAGATTCATTCGTTTCATAATATGTTTCATCCTGAATGTCGGCAAAATCATTTCACCGAAAACCTTTTAATAGCTGTTGAGATATTTCAGTTTTGGCCAAAGTGATGAACCAACCTGTATACCAATAGCCAAGCACACAGCAACCGTGGCTGAAAACAGGAAAGCTTTCTATGTCAAGAAAGGTGACTGGTGTTGAAAAGCATGAGACGGTACGTTTCATCCTGATTTTGAGGATAACAGAGCTCACTTACATCCCTTGGATCTCCTGCTCAACAAAGCCTCCTCCTCTTTCCTGTTAAAACTAACAGCCGCTGATAAAATAAAACACACACGTTCCACCTGTTCTAGGAAAAGACAGATTGTGACACCGAATGATATAATCTAAATGGGGTGAACTTTGTGTTTTACTCTTCCCTTTTTGCAGACAATAAAGATGAAATGCACGCACTAAGTATCCGTCTTCTGAGGTGCCTTCCTATTGAAGCCAACGGCTAAGTGACTCAGACAGTCACGCATAAATAAGGTGAAGTTATAAAGAATGTCAAGTTCAGCAGTTCAGTTGCTCTTAAACTGAAAGCTGAAATGGGCATTTGATTCAAGGGACTTTCAGTCTGCCGGGGTTGTTTGCTGTAGACACTCTGCTTCCACCGTCTCAGACATGGCCGTCCTCCTGGGCCTTGTTGCACTCTGCAGTATCAAGTTTACTGAAAGACTAAATCATCCATCCAGCAGCAGAGCTGTGGGCAAAACGTCTCTCTCCTGACAAAGGTGTGAATGTGATGGGAGTTATTTGCTGAAAGGGTCATGTTAACAATCTGGGGGGCAAATACGGCTCAATATGTTTTTTCGGAAGACATTTTCCATCCTTTCTCTGGTACATTTCAACATCCATCCCTCGTTGGATACAGTAATTGTGCGTCTCAGATGCAACGAGAAGCCATTAATACGGCATGTAAACACAATTCTAAACCTTGATGTAGCTGCCAAGCCAAACAACGGGACCAACTAGAAATAACATTTATTCATTGTGATTCTTTACTATTTAAAATAATCATTGAGTTGTGTGTGATCGGGGCTTATAACTAAAAGCACAATTTCAGATGAACACCTTTTAAATAATGTGACGCATGCTCACAGTTCACAGCAGATTGAGACAGAAACAACCATAGAGATCGTTTTTAGCAAACTGACACCTCAAGATTCCCCTTGCTGGGTTTGGACTTGGCACCTCGGCGGCTCATGATGGAAGCCAGCGAGAGAGTGGCGACACTTGTTGAAGTTAAAAGGCCACCAGTAAAGACAGCTCAGTACAACAGCACAAATCATTTAACCTTGAATCGGATGGGCTTCTGCCGCCTTCCTGCTCCAGTCAGCAAAAGCACGATACAATGGGGCAGTGTGAGACATCGGAGCTCGGGTGACGAGAGGAGAAATCCCAGGTTTAAAATGTGACACACGACCAGGAAATGGTCTTTATGGTTACAGGCCACTTTTTATTTGTCCATATGAATACATGCAGCGAGATAAAGATGCCATTTCACACGCGCGCGTCCCTTCGAGACTCGCTTTAGGAGCGCGGCGGTGACCTCAGCTTTTCCTCCGTCAGCTCGTGCGCTCGTCGTATCTCGAGCCAACAGACCACCTTTGGGATGATGTGGAATGTGTTGATAGGAGCGTGAATGCATCATTATGAATTCCACATCAACCAAACCACCCAGAGGTTTAAAGCACCTTGTTGAATCCATGCCGCCATGAAATAGGAGCTCCGGCGGTACCTCATTAAACACGCTGGTGCAGTATGTGGAATGTACAACATGAAGCTTGATTTTGGAGATCTTAAACACAGCCATCATTCCCATCAGAGAAGGAGTTGGAATCAAGAATAAAAGCAATTTCCTACACATCCGACCTGAAATTGAAATGGCATCGGGATGACAGCTGCTCATCGACATCAGAGTGCGAGTTGATAAAAGGGAGGAGAATACCACGCTTCTTACACTGTATTCATATTTTATAAGTGTGTCACGTTTTGCTTTGCTGCAGAGATTGTGTCAATCTCGTATTTACCATTAATGACCAAATATCGGGGGCATTGCCTAGACATCTGTCATGCACACATAACTATTCATGAGTCTTTTATCGCAATCACTGAAACAAATCTCCCCTTGTGTGTGTGTGTGTGTGTGTGTGTGTGTGTGTTACTTTCGCTATCTCTCTCTCTCTCTCTGTTAGGCTGAGGTCATTATTGATCAGGCTTTGTCACATGCTGTTACTACTTCTAAATAACAATTAGAGTGACAGAAACAAGGGCGAGTGCAAGGCCCCGTTAGATAAATTACGCCTTCCTGTTGTAGCGCCTGCACATGCTAAATTAATGACGATTTATGTTCTCAAAATGCGACCGGGAAGCAGAAGCACCTGTTTGTTACTCCCAGAAGTGGAAAGTTATACTGTAATACCGTTGCAACATCCATGAGAACTTTTCTTGAGCATTTAGATCTTGTCCTGCTACTTTACAGTAAAATGGTTTCATTTCAATAATGTTTTGAGACCTCAAAAGGTATAATGCCAGTATATTTAATTACAAATATACGTCCAAAGATTCAATACAAATTTTGAGGTCACAACCCATTTTTGTCTCCTTTCCTCATTCATGTATCTGTTTTATCTTTTGGCGTCTGTCCTTTTGGAGAGGGCTCGAACCCACATGTATTCATTCAATACGCTTTATTCAAACATTATTCACACATGTTTTGTAATGAACAGAAACACCAAATTACATCTAATGTAAATCTTTCTTTCAAAAGATCTACTTCACAGCTGAAGGCCCACTCAACTTCCAACGATCGACTCGCACATTGAACCCGACTCGTTGAACCCGACTCATTGAACCCGACTCCTCCAATAATCGCGCATTTTTTAAAACGTCCATCCGCTCCGCTCCTCCTCTCCGCTCCTCCGCTCCTCTCCTCCGTACTCCTCCCGCTCCTCCCCTCGTCGCTCCTCCTCGCTCCTTTCCTCTCCGCTTCCCTCCTCCTCGCTCCTCCTCGCTCCCCTCCGCTCCTCCCCTCTCTCCGGGCCGGGTTTTCACACAGCGCCGCCACTTGCCGGAGCACTTGGATTGGCTGTAAGGAGCAAGGTAGCCCGCAGAGACCGCTCCTTCCCCCGGATCAGTCCCGTCAGTGGAGCGCGAGGCGCACACACACACACACACACACACACACACTCACGCACACTCACTCACACACGCGCAGCTCACGCACGCGCTGGTCGACACGCGTGAAAGGTGCGACGCAGAGTGGACTCACCGGAGGACTCTGGTAGTGTGCGCTGGACTTAAACGGAGCATGAATCTGTCATCAAGACATCGATCCTCGCCTCTAGACAAACCAAGTGAACCTTTCAGGGGGAAATCACACGCGGGCACATTTTAATGCCACATCCTCCGCGCACGGAGGGCGATGCACTCGCCTCTTGTTCTTCAGGCTGCCACCGTTTCTACATGACTGCATGAACTCAGCGCTGGATAAATATATATATATATATATATATATATATTTTCTGCAGAGACATTTGTTGTTGTTTTTTGTTGTTGTTGTTGTTTTCTCCTCTCGGTAGTTTTTTTGTTTTGTTATTTTTGACGGGTTGGAGATTCCGCGCAACAGAGAGCGGCGGCAGCGCGCGTGTTTGAGCGCAACCTCCCAGTGACTCGGTCGGAGTTTGACTCCCCATCATGGGCCACGGTGCGCACACCGCCGGAGAGGGACGAGGAGCGCCCGAGATGCGGACTGCGTCTTGGCTTTTGGTTATCCTCCTGATGGACGTCGGCCTGGCTCAAGGTAAACTCCCCCCCCCAAAAAAGTCTTTTGTCGAGCCTTTGAACTTGGCTTTTTGCCTTTGCGTAAAAGTGGACTAAAGTTCTGCGTGCTTACGGAGAGGAAAAGCACCTGAAGTCCACCGACGCTGATAGTTGACGGAACACAACCGGGCACATGGATCACCACGAAGGCCCGAGTCGTGGGAATGTGTGTTAAAGAGGAAAATGTGAAAGACAAGGTCAAATTAACTCTTAATTCGGAGGGGAAAAAAATGACGAAATAAAAGTGTAAGAATCCACCAGTTTAAATAAGGAGATCAATGCTAAATGCTGTCGAGTTTCCATGAAAATGAAATGTACTATAGCCTATCATATATGAGGAGGTGTCAACATAAACACTAATTATTTTTACCAACCAAATTTGACCCAGTTTCCTAGTTGCTATGAATTTAGTTTTAATGCGACATCTGCTCACTCTGTGAAAACCCTCAAGAGGATGTTGTTCATTTTCTTTCCATGTTTTAAACCAAAGTCCACCGAATGATGTATTGTTTTAATGTACATATTAATAGCTTATTCGGTAAGATGTTCACTTATAAGATATGAGCTCATCCGGTAATGATGATTATTGAGCTATTAAACTATTTGACGATTGCTGAGAAGACAGATCTTTATTAGGATCCAACCAAAGTGTTGGACTTTCTGAGGCCTCTTTCAGTCTCACGCCAGATATAATCAGCACTAATTTCTCCCCGTCTTTACCTTCAACCAGCAAGCACCTCTTCTATTTTTTTTAAAGCTTAAGCGTTTTCGCCGGCTTTTTTCCCACGGATTAGAGTCGTCTGCTGAACGATGTTTTCCTTAAATCCTACTAGCTGTCAGTTATGAAGAGCGTTGTGATAATGCCACAACACCTGAAGCCATTTTACTTAATCTGCTCCCTCCTGAGTGGGATCGTCTGTCAAACAAAGGGGGGGCTAGGAGGTAGCCATCTGTGTGAGGGTGAATGTTCAGTATGTGTTTGTGCATGTGTGTCACACGCCAGATGAAGCGCGTTTGCCTCTGGTAGGTGGTCCGCCTGCTCTTCTCGGAAACGAACCGTGGCCGAATAACGCGGTGAGCCGGGAGAGAAGGGGCAGCGTCAGATTTTTCAATGACGTGTCCTATGTTGTTTTGAAAGTTACAGGCTGTTCGTCACCAGCTTGAATCGGAGGTCCGAGCACATCTCCCATATAGGCGGCTATACGGGAGCAACCTTACCCGAGCCGCTCGGGGCCTTTATCTCACTCCTACATAGTTAATGAGCAAAAAGGGGGGAACAGGAAGAATAAAAAAAAAAAAAAAAAAAGCAGGTTTCCGGTTTCTGAAGGGCAGGGCGAAATGACATAATACCCATTCCAAAACCCCAGAGAGCCCCGTGTCATTGACTAGAAGGGAATGCGAACAAGGTCCTTCTCTGTCCATTAAGGAGTCGATACGGCAGGAGAACATCGTTTGGGACTAATTAATGGGCCCCGCTATTTTTGGGCACTGATGAGCTGTACACATTTCCAAATCGCTAGAGAGTCACTTCTTCAGTGTAAAACTACTGGTGATTAAAGTGTCTCACTTACTCAAGCGCCCCCCCCCGTTCCTGGATACGTCGGCGTGGAGTCATTTCAACCCACTTTAGTTTAGATATTTCTATACTTACTTTAGGTGCATTTCCTCCGGCCATTACAGTTCAGGTTTCTCACTTCCTGACGTAGCCTTTGATGGGGGGGGCGTGCCCCCCCCCCCTCTTTTCCAAAAGAAGTGAGCGCTGGGAAATGAGAGTTTTCATTACCCTGGTGACCTTTTTAAAAAGGAAACAGGTTGAGAAAGTTATAAGTGGGGAGCTGCCAAAGAGGTAGCTGGGGGCTCTGTAACAGAAGCTGGATTTGGAACCCTCGGGGCAAGAACAAAGGTCCCCCCCCCCCCCCCAGTATTTTCAGCACCACGGCAGAGCTGCTCCGCATGTGCAGTGTCCAAATCTGTGTGCAGTCGTTGTGGGAATATGTGGAATACTGATGATATGTAAAAAAAAAAAAAAAAGAAAAAACGCAGGATATGTTTTAAAAAAAGTTTTTCTCTCAGTTTCTAGTGCAACTGGGTCAATGCGTAAGATTAGAATGCTTTATCCGTCAAACGGGGGGACAAAAGCTGCACCGTCCTTATTGATTTCATATCAGGTTTGCTTCACGGAGGACATACTGTAGCTGTAAGGAAGACAACATGGATTGAAAGAGAATTTCTAAACCCTTTGTGTGGTAAATGCATTGTGAGACACAGACAATCCCATTTGAAGTATTTCCCCTCATGGATTCCTACCAATAATAATGTAACGTACACATGTTTACTCTGTATCGCAGTGTCCCACCCTGGGTACCGGCCTTCCTCGGGTTAGTTCAGTTACTCCGTCCCGCTGCTCCCACGTCTCTCGCCTCCTCTTTGGCCATGTCCCTGTCTCTGCCCCCTTCTGCCCTCTGAGGAAGCAAACGTCAAAGGTGCCTCATTAGTGACAATAAGATGTTGCTATTTTCCACATGACACTTGATCCGAGCGTCACTCTGAGGTAAATGTGAAATGTTATTTCTATCATCATTATGCTAACTGGCTTCCCCGTGGCCTTAAGCACTGTCTGTTTGGGGACCGCTAACGTTACAACCACTGCCACCATTCTATAAACAGGACTCGTACGCACAATGAGCGCCTTGTGTGTAAAGAGCAGTATTTATAAATTACCCTCTGCGATGGCTCTTTGCCACGACCTTTGACCTGGCCATATGACACACTGAAAGTCAAGCAATTTGAGGTAATTGAAGGAAATTGATATTTAGAGGTACACTCCCCTACGTACGGGTGGAGGAAGAGGGCAAAGTAAACAGTGTGTACAGGAAGGTCTGACAGCGTTGAGTGGGGTCAAAGGTGAGTGCCCGGCTGCCGCTAAGCCCGCAGGCGGCGCGTGGAAGTGAGTGATAATTACTGTGGAAAGTGTCTGCTATGGTGGCACGCAATATAAATGGAGCTATTTTAGGGCCGGGCCCAGTTTGTGTGTCTGTCGCTGTCATTGTAGCCACATTGTAGAAATACTGGGGGTCAGTTCAAACTTCCCTTCAGTGACCCCAAACTCACCTCAGAGATATTTCACCAGCCACCAAACAAAAGCTTTTAAAAAATATTCTGAATATTTATAATATTATTTTATCTCCCTTTCTAATTGTCTATTTAACAGCTTTCTTCAATCATATATAATACTGGTAGATAAATTACAAATGTTTGTCTTGTTTTATTTGAGCGTAGAACAAATTGACAAGTTAAAAGCTTTTTATTTGTCTATTAAAAACGTGAATGTTGTTAAAACCTCAGTGTCAACAATACGCCTGATGGTTGTGTGCTTTGCCGTCGCTGCTCGTGCACCAGATTCGAGTGTCCCCCTCAAGCAACTGAGAACATTCTGCACCTTTACGCCCTGTGACCAGCCGAGTGGAAGCACGCAGTGAAATAAACCTCAAAGCTTTGTTATCTCCCTTTTTTTTTTTAAATCTCTCACTCTGGAGGTTTATTTGCCATTTGTTGTATTTGTTGCTCTCATATTCAAAGCGTCGTGAAACCACAGCTTTCCGGATAAACTTGACTGCCGGAGAGCGCGACACTGATTTTACATTCCTATAATCTCCCCTCCGCCCAGAGAGGAAAAGAATTGCGGTCGTGAAAGTCAGAAGAAAAGGGTGACCGCAAGGACACGCAGGAGGCAAATGGGACGGAAAGATTAGTGGACGGGAAGCGGGAGGAGAAGGAAAAAAGGAGAGAGAGAAGGGTGATAGGGAGATATGGAGTGAGGACAGCGATGGACAGGGGAGGAGCAGAGAGTGTGTCATTAATCACCCTGTGTGACACTCTCAACTACAGGGGAGCTTCTCAGTGCAACATTCACTTCTATTAGCAGTCCATTAGCAGAGCCCGGCACAAGTAGCGGGACTTGACAGGCAGGCCTGTGCCAGAATGGCTGACCTGCATCGCCGTGTTTGCTCCACCACCTAGATAGTCTGTGTGCGTGCGTGTGTACGCGTGTGTGTGTTTGTGCGAGTAAAGGCAAGTCAAAGTGCTGCCTATGACATACATTACTATTGAGCTAAGTTTAGCTTTTCAGGTTTTGGAGGGGAAATTAAAATAATTGTGTAGAAAGGTCCCACTTTCAATTACGCCACCGGATCAGATGGGGCATAATGATTGCAAAGATGATGGTGCTGATGGTGATGGTGGTGATGGTGATGATGGTGGTGATGGTGATGGTGGTGATGGTGACCTGATTTCCTACCTGATGATATCCGCTCTGCCAGAAAAAGGCTCTTCACAGTTGAGATGGCTGATGCATTAGAGCTACAGTCATATGTCATTCAAAGGCTTGTTGGCCTCTTAATAGCCAAGAGCTCTGTGATTACAGGATCTCAGCCAACGGGGGGGTGAGGGGGGGGTGCAGGGTCTGGAGGAGGGGGGGGACCACTGTCCCTGCTCTTGATCTACAGTTCATTTATGATTAGAGATCAGAGCCAGCAGTAAAAAAAACAGGGGTCGAGGGGGCAGGGAGGGGAGGGAGGGGAGGGGCCGGGGGGGTAGAGAGGAGGACCAGAGCCAAAGGGGGGGGGGAGAAGTGATTACGAGTTAAGTGGCCCTTCCCATGCCATTATAAGCGGCAGGGCTGACAGAGCACATCATGAGTGAGCATAAGTACACACTCCACTTCTGCCCTTTAATTTGGCATCACCCCCCCCCCCCCCCCCCCCCCACACACACACACCTTCCCCCCCACGGTGCTCAACCGCTAATGTCCTTCTACTTTTTGTGTGTGTTCCTAACAAGAAATCAGTCAAGGGCACGTCATTACAAACACAGGTAAATAGGAGCTAGCAGGTGGAAGGAACTTTAATCTTTGGAGTTTTATCTATATTTTTGTTTTACATTCTGCTTTATCTTAATGGTTGTTATATAACTGTATGAAAA